AGAAGTTGAAAACAAATAACATAAATGCCAAATTGCAGTACCAAAGCATATTATAACTTCGTGCAGGAAGAAACTCAAGAAAATCAAATGCATTTCGGAATTCTAATCAATATAAATCAGAAAATTAAAGCAAAACCGACAGAAACTAATCAATAATGATAGTTTGGAGTCAATAATAGCAAACCACTTGTATACTGATCTATGATGAGTAACAGAACTTAATTACATGTTCACAACTTAGAGAAAAGGGAAATTACCTTGAGATAGTGATCTCATAGGGAAATGTGACACACTCAAGATTTGAAATCGCAGGAATGTGGTCCTTTTTCTCATTTACAAATTTTATTATCTGAAACATAGCTTCACGAAGAGATGATTCCAACACTGTTCGCCGAGCACTCCTCTCCTCAGATGCACTCTCTGCAAAAAAAGGTTATACCTCCCTTTACAAAACTGACTAATGAACAAGTTGTAAAACCACATGGAAAAAATGTTTTAAGAAAAAAAAAAAAAGGAGAAAAAAAGTATGGTACCTCCTGGGTCAACTACTTTTGAGAGATGAGACTTGCCAGGATGACCTTTTGGATGATGAGCCACATTCAAATTTATATACCAGTGTTCCCAGTAAAAACGTTCAACTTTGGTAGTGAACCACGAGGCCTGCTTGTTTTTTACTTCACAGAAGGATAGGCAAATCTGCATACTTTCTCCATCCAGTTACACAAATATGTATGTTGAGGTTACAACAGAAAGTTCATTTAGATATTTAGACCAGTACTGATTTCACTAGTGATTAAAATTCCACAAGATACTTATATCACTAGTCAAAAGGTTACAGGCAACAATATCCTGAGAAAAAATGCAACATTGCACAACGTGAGCTTCACTGTGAAATCCTGTTACTGGAATATGAACTCTAATCAGACAATGGGAATGGTGTGGCCATGGAAGCTAATCTGGAAGATTAAATCCCTCATAAGGTGTCATGTTTCTCATGGTTGGTGATAGGCATGTCTAACTCATGAAGTTTTACAGATAAGTGGTTTACAGGTTTGCTTAAGGTGTTACATGTGTGAAAAAGAGGCAGAGGTTAACAACCACTTATTTCAACATTGCAAAACAATTGTAAATCTGTGGGACATGTTCTTATGTATACTTGGAGTTAGCTGGGTAATGCCCAGAACTTCTTTAGACATGCTGAAACAAAGCGAAGGAATGGGCAGAAGGAGAAGATCAAAAGAGGACAGGTGGAAATGCATTCCAGCTTGCATCTTATAAACACTTTGGAAGGAAAGGAATGGAAGATCCCATGATGAAAGATCAAGATGAAGAGTCTGAGTTTGCTGTATTTTGGTGTAACTAGGACATGGCGGGGGAGGCAGAAAGTCTAGTGGACTCTATAGGACAACTGTAAAGTATTTTTTGGTTTTTGTTTATCATGATGCTCCCAGGGGTTGTAAATCCCACCATCAGTTTTTCTTGATGAGTTTTTTGGTGTGAATACAAGGTTACTGTTATCAAAAGAAAAGGAAATGGCTATAAGAATATGTAAACACTGAACAGAACTATAAAGTAGGAAAGTGAATGGCCATTGGCCAAAACAGTGATCATCACCAACAGAAACAAACTGCAACCACTGACTAACCTGATTTTTCCTGTTAGGGTGCTTCTCGACTCTATCGATGAATAGGGTAATCTTCTCTTCAATTTTCTTTTCAACCTCCACATCACCACACTGTGTCTACATAACATAACATGAAAGAACAATAAATAAAAAGTATACCATAAAATAGTAAGTATCAGCAGCTTATACTGATCAAAAATAAATATCAGCAACTTATTGCATCACTATGAAAGATCTATCAAAAAATAGGGAAAAGATAAAATAAAAAAATAAAAAAAGACACATGATATATCACAGTATTACACCAACCTCTCCTTGAGACTAACAAAATTTGAAGGACCTCACTTTTGGTTCTATATTATAGAGTGATTTCCCTCTAGTTCAATGTGTCATTAGAAATGTCTTCCACTAATAGTGAACAATTTGTTTGATCATTAATTCACCTTCTCTTGAAAAAAATAGAATATATTAGCTTCTAATGAAAAAGCATAGTGGTCATCTACTCCTTTTCCAAAATTCATGATGTCATATCCACATCTCATGTCTCGTTTTTGAATAATCAAGAGTCCTCCTGCCACAATACCTTATTCCATTTTTTTCCACACACCACACTGATTTGAAAAGAAAAAGAAAACAAGGAAAAAGAGATGAAGCCTACCATCTACCACTATAAGAATTTATTACTTACATATGTAATGTCAAAAAGTTCCAAATCAACATCCTTCGGCCGCAGCAGGCCTAAGGCTCTGTGGAACATAATTGTATGTAAAATACCTGCAATTGACCATTCAATTGTTTAGGACAGAGCTGCACAGTGTATCAAACTACAGTCAAAATTGTTTGGAACTCTGAGCCTGCAATCATTGAATGATGAAATCTAGGAGGAACTGACCTCAAAATAGCAAACAAGCAAAAGCACAGAAGGAAGAATGACAAAAGCAGATTCTTTAGAACACATGAACAATGTGACATGTGAACAAAGTTGTTCAGCTATTCATCAACATAAGCAAAAACTTTTAGGCTGAAATAGGCATCTTGTACAATTAAAGATCTTATCTAAGTCAACTCTGGTATGTGATTTTCATGCACCAATCCATTTTAATCCGCACGACTTCCTTTATAACTAACTGTTGATGTTTTCCTACCATCCAATGCTTCCATTTCAAAAAGAAAAATCTCATCTTCAACAGGAACCAAATTGTAATCTAGAGAGGAATTTGTAATTCAATTCTAGAATTAGACATCAAAACTAACCAATACAAGCCAAAGCTGAGATCATACACAAAACTTAGTCAAACAAGTCAAATATAAGCTATGAGCTGAAAGTTTATCCACCGTATCACCCAATTGCACATGAATTTGAGCATAGACAAATCCAAGGATTTAACAGGGATCGGGTGCATGTGTGTGTTGGTGTAGGTATATTGTTCTTCGAGTCTTCTAAATACATATAACATTGTCTGAGCAGCAACTCTGTAATGGATTAATCCGTAGAATTCAATAAGGAATTGAACTTACATCGGAGGACTTCTCGTATCTCAAAGTGCTCCACATCCTTAAGCAAGATAACCAGTGAAGAATTAAACGAAAATCAAGCCCAAAAAAGAGAACTCAGAGCTCATATTCACATAATTCAAAAGTAGAAACTTACAAGTTCTTTTAGCTGACAAACTTCGCAATTCATGATTGATGATTCCTCTTTAGTAAATACTTCACAACAAAGCCGCGATTGATCGAGGAGACGATGGAAGTAATTAATAAACCCTAGAGTGCAGTTAGAATTTCGCCGTGCGAACTGGAGAAAACGCAGAACTGAATTTCGCAAACGTAGTGAAGGAGCAATTTGTAGTTATCTTTGATTACAATTTATGGATTTCACTATTGAGTGAAGGCTATTTGATCTTGGACTTCTTCCGGAGTTAATTAAATTAAACAACAAAATAAATCTTGCGCAAATAAAAATTAAATAATTTGTATATTGTCGAGTAATCGAAAAGGCCAGAAACAATTTTCCGCTGCCCAAACAAAACGAGAATAAATAGTAGTTTTATTATTGACCATTTTTTAAGTACGACTATTTTCAAGCTTAATTTTTTTGTTTTAATAACTTGACATAGTTAATTGAGTATAATTCAGAATATTGATTACTTTCTTATTCAGTAGCAACAGACCTAGATTTTGTGAATAAAATATGTACATAGGTTGTATATCTAAACAAGTGTTTTATATAGATATAAACAAATGTTTTTCTTTTAGATGATGCAAGAAGAAGATAAATTGATGAGACCAAATCCAAATGATGAGCATAGCCAAATTTTTTTTGGATAAATGGCAAATGGACTACTATGCATTTGGATAGGAAGCTCAATTAATAGGATGGATTAGCTTCTTTTTCTTTTTTTGCAAAAGAACCCACATAAAAGCATTTAACCAATAGAAAGAAAACAAATGGGAAAATGGTCTAAAAAATACTTCAATTTTGGTTAAAATTGTTGTTACGATATCAAACGTTATGGATGACCTTTTACCCCTGCACTATTTAATAAGTAGTGTATTTTAAAGGTATATATGTGTCCACGTGGACACGTTACTATTTATAATGATGCAATATTTATGATGTCAACGTGGGCACATATATACCTTTAAAATACACTATTAAATAGTGCAGGGGTAAAAGGTCTTTTCCAAAGTTCGATATTGTTACAGCAATTTCAGTCAAAGTTCAGATATATTTCAAACATTTTTCCCAAAACAAATTAAAGATATTTTGTGATTTAATTGTTTTAACAGCCATACTCTTGGATAATTATTTGAAGGGATTATTTGATTTGTGGAAAAGTTATGTCGGTATTATAATCCTAAAATTATAAAATAAAATAAAAATTGATAAATTATCCACATTTCAGATAGAATAAAATAACACCAAATTTGAGATACAATTTATTCTAAAATTGGTTATATTAAAATCAAACAAAATCAAATTTAATCTCAAAATATCCCAAGAACCAAATGACCCTGGGTTATTGGCAATCAAGTTGTTTCATATGTTTAATAACCTGTCAGGTGGCAAGCAAACATCTTTAAAAGTAATACTGATAAACTGAAGTATGAATATGTCACTTTAACAATATTAAATCATACATGAAGTGAATAATACATCTTATATTTTTGTCCAAAAAAGATATAAAAGCAATTATTTACATATTCTAATATGTTAATTATAAATACACCCACGCATGCGTGACCCCAAATTCTGTTTTTCAGATATGAGATAACCATGGAATTATTGTGACATATTGGTCGTTAAAAAAACTCATCTTTCATCTTCATCAGGCCCTATACATCATTTATCATGGAATGTTCATAAGGCTGTTTAATATAATCTTTCGGCCAAGGTTCCATAAATATAGTAAAATCTTAAACATCAAATATTAACTTACTCACAAAATATTTGCTTGCTATGTATTACAACATATGTAGCAAGTAGTTTCTTTTGCCGGCATCTCTTGTAGTCAACCTCTTATGACCAAGAAAACATAATATTAACTTTAATAAATATGAGACCAAATTAAGGATGTCGAAGTGCAGCAGCTTTGCCACAGAGAAGAGCATTGGTAGGTATGTCATATTCATTAGCTAAACTGGCTGTTGGATTGTATACCCTGAGGTAAACCTGTTGTCCAAGATATTGTCTATCCCACATTGCAGACCTCAAATTCCACATTCCTTGGTTGTCCAATGACACAAATATAGCAGTCCAAGATTTAGGATAAACCTGCAACAAACATTTCATCTTGAAGCTTAGAAACTGCAAAATTCAGCTTTCCATGAATCAATAGTACTTAACTAAAATGATCAAAAATGGCATACATGGACAGTGTTGAGGATTTTTATTTACTATAATAGGTCATTTACCATGTTTTGTAGGTCACCGACCCATACTTGCTATAAGAATTTACATGTAGTTGAATTCTAAGTAACCTGATAATATAAAACTTCTTTACACTGTCCATGTAATTAAGTAGATTCTTTACTTAAACAGTTGCATTGTCGTGGAGGAAACTGGAATTACCTGTGTAGTATGTCTTGTAAGAGCATCAACAAGATTATACCCTTTTCTACTAGCTTGTGTCCAAGTACCTGATCCGAAACTGCAAATATTAACAACAGGAAGCGTAAGAAAACTTAAGCCGACCTTACACCAAGTGCAGTGAATCAAAACTTTTTAATGACTACGACATACCCTACGACCCAGAAATCATAACCATCAAGATGCCAAGATTGCATTGTGTCTTCATTGTTTTGGAAAACGATTTCGAGGAACTCATGGAGAGAAGATGGCAACACAGCTGTAGCTAGGTGTGGAGAATCAGCAGTGGGAGCACTTCGAATGGAATCCAAAGTGAACACCCCGGGGATGTTAAAGTGATCAGCAAGCTTCAGAGGAGTGTCAGGATGAATGTAAGAGATACCATTGACAGCATATCTCTGCTTCCCGTTGATAAGTGGTGCAGAGTTGGCAAGCAAAATTGTCCTTGAAGGTGTAATTTTTCCATAATGGAATGAACCCTGAGGATTTGGTCTAGCTGCATTAGATGTCAGATTCCACCTTCAAAACGAAAACAACTTAGGTTATGAAAAGTTATTATCATCATAGCTGGGAACTTTTCCTTCCCATATTCCTAAATATATGTTTAGTTAAAAATGCTAAGCTGGTGCAACAGAATAATCATTCCCATTAAGGACACTGCAGCAGGAAGACTCATGTTACTTCCCTTGCAAACAAACAGTTTACCTCTCTGAAGTGTTCTCGTGGTAGTTGCTACCCTTGTTATTACTAAAATATTTAAGGTTACCCTTCACCCTAGCGATCTATGAACGTCCATTCATGGTGAATCGAACGAAAAAGTTCACTAAGTACAGGACTAACTACAAGAAAGGATGATTCTAAAACTTGAGAGGTCATAATGCATAGATGTGAGGAGGCAGTGAATGCACATTGGATGATGTGTACCTGATTGTTCTGGCTTGCATCAACGACCACTGAAATTGATTAACTGGACCAGCTGGCACAGGTCCAGATACGGGTGTTTGAGAGTTTGTGTAGTGGAGCACTGAGGTGGAAGTCAGAACAGTTGTCGTGAACCTTGTAGATGCAACAATGTAGTAGTCCTTTGGAGATTGATCCAATGTGACAAGGATAGATAAAGATTGACCAACATGGACATCAAAAGAATCGTATAAATTTTGAATGACATGCGATCCTTCAACCTCTACCAACTTCATCTTGTGGCCCTGAATTCTGAAGTTAATGGTAGTTTTCAAACCCACATTTGAAATCCTGAACATATATGTTTTGCCTGTAAATGAAAAGCAAGATTGGTGTTGTTAATGAGTTGTTACTTGTAGAGGGTAAAATAGCAGCACATTTTGATGGTGAATGGCAATTCAGTAATGAACATGGGCATTAGAGAATATTGAGAATAACCTTGATCGCCAGTGAAAGTTGACTGCCTTTGGCCATTTATAAGGAGACCATCTGGGAAGGGAAGAGACTTCCCTGAATCCAATATTTGCCGCAATGCCTGTAAGTCCCCAGGATATGAAAAAATTGAGTATCCTTGTAATTAAGAAAAACCTTCATACATGAGAGCATTGGAAAACTTCATGTAATTTCCTTCAAGCAGTTTCCTAAATAAGTTTTGACATTTCCTCAAAATTCTTAAAAATGAAAACATAACAGATACATAAAAATCTTTAGACTATAGCGGAAAGGTCTGAAAAATATATTTCAATTTTAATTAGATGTCCCAAATATATCAAGAAAGAATGCATTTATACATATCGTTAGATGAAACAAAAATTAGGGTCCTCAATAAGTTACTTCTAGCATCTGACTGATCAGGGGCGGAGCTAGAGAGAAAGCTACAGAGTTGGCAGAACACAATAGCTTTGGTCAAATTTATGCAGAACCAAGTAAACAATCCTTTTTAGAATTGAAAACCCATAAACTCAAACTTCTGGCTCCGCCGATGTGACTGACGGTAACTAAATTTAATAGAAAAGAGAAGACTACAAGAAATAGGCAGTAGACGCACCTTATGACTAGTCTTGTACCAATCACCAATAAGCAAACTGAAATCTCCAGCAGGTTTTGCATATGGAACAGGGATTACAGATCTCGCATAAACATTAAGCACTCCAAAACCTCCAGCAGCTCTGTGCAGTTGAGTTGAAGGGAAATAAGTATAGCTCCCAATCTGATCTTTAGGTTGAAACTTGTAAATGTAATTTCTGTTTGGAGGAATAGGACAATTTGTTCCCAAAACTCCGTCTTGCCAAGAGTTCTTTCTCTGTTTGATTCCGTTCCTAAACATGATAAGCAATATTACATTTAACACTGCCCTTTCCAGCTCTTCTACTCATGAACACTCAATCAATAGAAACATCATGAGAATGCAGTCATCCTAGTCAGTTGCCACAATCCAAAAGGGGAACACATTTTGAAAGAAACAAGTGCAACAACAACAACAACAACAAAGCCAGTGTAATCCCATAAGTGAGGTTTGAGGAGGGTAAGATGTATGCAGCCTTACCCCTACCTTCCTGGGGTAGAGAGGTTGTTTCTGAAACCCTTGGCAACCCTCCTACTTTATCCTGACTTAGGCGACAATGTGAACGAGCTAACACAATCAAGTACAGTAAACGGAATTAACCACGAATAAGTAAGTTTTAAGAAGTTAAGGCCATATTCAAGCAAATGTAAGTACATAAAGGGATAGATTGGAAAAAGGAAACTCACCATGTCAAGAGAAGGGGCTCATCCAACTTATTAATCAAGTTGAGGACAATATTATCATTAGTGACAAGGTCAAGCCTAGGACCAGGGAATTGACCATTGATAAGGATTACCTAACAAGTTCAAAGATCAAAACTTTCATTAAAAAAACTGAAGTTCTTCATTAACCCATATCAAGACAAAGTGACAAAACAACACAAGATCAACAACTAAAACGGAAACATAGTACTAACCTGCTGGGGAGTACCTAATGGAGAAGCCATTCCATAAGTGGCAGTCCATGTGAAGTATTTATAAGGATCCTCTGCTTTTACCACAGAGACAGCCCAAAAAATAAAGATACCACAAAGCAAATGAAGCAAAGCTAATTTCCCCATTGGATAAGTGGTGAAAGAATAGACACCCAAACCCCTTTTATAATATACCTGCAAAATCCAAGTTAACATTACAATGTAACAGATCTTCAAGTACAAAAGAGGCAATAAGAGATGTCATTAAGAAATCCTTGAACATTTTCAGCTCAAACAAGAATGTAATAACAAAAAAAAAAGATAACAGCTTTAAACAGAACAAGAAAGGAACATACCAAGTTCTTGAAGTGTGTAGCTGAGTATTTCTACTAAAATTGGGGGGAAAATGAAAGAATGGTATATATGAAGCTATCACTTTCTGAGTTCTTGATAGGCTGCTTGCAGTTTGAATATGAAGCAGCAGATAAATAATGAATGGGTAGGTACAATTGGATGGGCCTAGCTATCTAATGCCAACTCTCATATTCGGCGTATTCACGCGTTTTCACATATTTATGGGACATTACCTGCTTCATTCTCTCCCTCTGGCTTTACGAGACTCAATTAGACTAGTTTTTGAAATTAAACAAAATATATGAAAAATATTATAAGTAACAGTATTTTAATTTAATAAAAAATACATTTTAAAATATTGATTAAAATTGTACAATTTGATTTTGGATAAGCAAAATATGGCCAGTATTGACATTGATTCCCATCTTTCTTTCTATCATTTTCATTTCTACAATTCTACTTTTGCCTTCATTTTCCAGGTGTAAAGAATAAAGAGAGAGGATAAAGAAGAAAGGGTATAGAAGTTTAGCAATGATTAGGTAGTAGAAAGATTAAAGTTGCAGCAGCCAGCAAATAACAGAGAAAATTACAAATATGGTTTCTTATGTTTGGGCTAGTTCAAAATTATTCCTTCAAAAATTAGCACTTTTTGTCCCTATTATATTTACAGAAACTTTAGCTGCCTCTGTGGAAAAGTAAAAATTTTAATAGAGAACTGAGGGAATATTATTTATTTGTATAATATATAAATATGCTTTAACTTGATCTCAACTTATATTTCTTTCAATTTGGATATACACAAAAAGACACTTAAACTTATATAAAATTAAACAAATACATTCTACATAACACTTCACGTCCTACGTAGTATCCATTGTCCTCATGTCACGTATGACTTATACAAATTTAAATCTCTATACTCAAACTTAAAAAGCATAAATATAAAATAAAACTAAGTTAATGATATATATATATATATATATATATATATATATATATATATATATATATATATATTATTCCGAAACATGAAATATGGAAAGAGAGAAAGAAGATAAAAATAATTATGAGGGAGACCCATGTGCTATGTTGGTTGTTGTGTGTACGTATTATTGATTTGGAAAGTATGGGGTCCAATGGCTACAACAAATGCGTTACAATTAAGATTTCATGCAAAAACAATATCCTTTAAAGACCCCATCGTTTTTTATTTTATTTCTTCTCATTTTGCCTCAATTGTATGCTTTTCTGGAGCCATATTTTATATTATTTCAAAACTAGTATTTGATTATAAATTTTCAAATTTAATATGGAGTTAGATTTTAAATTTTAAACATGCTTTTTTACTCCGTTTTAAAATTTTTAAATAATAGTTCTCTTTTTTTCTTGACAATAAATATAAACAAACATAATTTTATCTTTAATTTTATAAATTTCTATTAAAGTAAAAAATATTTAAATTTATGATCAAACGTATGGGTTAATTTTTTCGATTAAGGACTGAATTATTACCATCGTTTCAGCTATGCGAACAGAGAAAAATTTTGAGATAATACATGTGGGTTTTTTTATGTATCTCAAAATAAAAGCCCCACCCCCAATCCCCATAAAAAGGACATATTTGCACCGACTATTCGTTTTACGTTCTCTATATTTGTGTCAAGGTTTTTAAAATTATTGTACTTAAAAATTGTTTTACTCAATTAAGTTGAAATGTGTTTTTATATATATATATATATATATATTTGATAAATTGATTGTACTTACGCAATTCTTAAACCCATTCTACTGATAGAAACTTCGGTTCAAAAGCCTTTGTCAAGGTGTTGCCAAGTTCCAGTATTTAGTGGGCCACCGTTACTGAATTAGAAAAACGAATATTTAGGCAAGAAAAAACAAAGTGTGCCAGTTATATATAATTTTTCTTGCTATATAAATATATTTCAATGTCAATTTACGAAAAAGAAACAATATTAAAATTCACTATAAAATTAGTATTATTTAAATAGTAAAAAAATAATGGATAAAAGACTTTAATTAAAATTTATTATTATTTAATTAATATAAATATAGTTAAACAGAAAATGGAAGATGAGAAAAGAGTTGAAGTTATATTTGAGAGATTTATCAGTTAAATTAATGAGAGAGAGTTAGATTAATATAAATTCTTGGTAAGGATATTTTGTGTTGAGCGAATTAAATTTTTGCTTTTCAAGAAGTAAAAAATTGTAGCTTCGAATTGTTGCTCAAGAAAATATTTTTTTCTTTACCAAACATTTCAAATTTTTTTTGGAAAAAAGATAGAAGAAATCAATGTGTTTTTGATATCTTCTCAAGTTGTGTTATAATTCAAACTGCATTATGACTAAGTTTTAATTAAACAAAAACGGAGCTAATTGAATTTATTTCCTCTATGGTCACCTTACTTTAAATACTAAAATAATCATTTGAAAATGGCAAGAAATGTGAATCGTGTTCTAGGCGTTAACTTGTCATTATAAGATCCATTTACAAATGAAGTATATATTTCTTCTTAATTTATTCAAGATAATTGTACTTGTTTTCCTTCTTTAGATGGTGCTCAGATATAAAAGAAAATATTTTTATGGAAAATATTTTTTAAAAAAAAATTAGTGTATTTATTTATTTTTTGATGTTCAGTATATTAGTAAAAAATATTTATTTATATATAATATATACAAATATTAAAGGAAGTAAGAATGAAAGTATAAGTGTCGAATGAGTGTTTGGGCTTAATTTGGGCAGATCAATTTTGGTTGAGTTAATAAATGAACGGATTATTGATCTGTTCAAAAGCTACTTGGACTGAAATGATTGCGTTGAAATGAGCTGAAATGCGGGTTTTAACTCAACATGCACAATTCTTATTAAATTTTAATTGTATTATTTGTTCTTTATAATTTTTTAGTAGCTAATAAGATTATTATTTTTCTATATTATGAGTATATATACTAATATATTATGTAAAAATTAGGCAAATAACATAGTATAAGAAAGAAATTACTTCCTTTCCCTACTCTTTCATTAATTACCAAAAATCCCTTTTTTTAGTGTTTTTCGGATACATAATATATCAGTGTGGATACTTAATATAGCAGCGCGGATACTTTAATTAATAACAGGCGGATACTTAAATTATTAAGTTGTTAGCAACACGGATACTTAATTAACGAGCGGATGGATAATATAGCAGCGCGGATACTTTAATTAATAACGGGCGGATACTTAAATTATTAAGTTGTTAGCAGCGCGGATACTTAATTAACGGCGGATGCATAATATAGTAGTGCGGATACTTTAATTAATAACAGGTGGATACTTAAACTAATAAAGTATTCGGTTAAGTTGAATTGGGGGAAAATAAGGGATTTTTGTATTTTAGTAAAAGTGTAGGGAAATATTGAGAATAGGTAAAGAAGTGTTGTGTATTTAAGTAATTTTTCCATATATTAAATAAGAAAAATATTTTGACACGATTTCTCATAACTCAAATTGGGCCGCATAACAATCCAATTTTAATGGGTTGAAATGGATTTGACTGAAATGAGTTGAGCTTAAATGGACGGGTCAATAACTCACTCAAACTTGAATGAGTTGCACGGATTGGACAAACTGAGTTTGATTTTGCCACTCGTAAATGGAGGATAGGGGATTAGGGAAAGATAAGGTATATTGGAGGATGGAAAAAACAAATTCTATATGGAATATAATCTGCTGAACTTGTTTTCCATACTTTCACTCATTTTCCTTAATTTCAAGGAATTAACTATTTTCTTAAAAAAAATCTTTTCCTTCATGAAGAAAATAACTTTAAAAAAATATTTTCCTTCATAACAAATATAACTTTAAAACGAAATACGTAACAAAAGTAACTTACGAAATATGTAATACTTAAAAGAACATAAATATCGAGGCTCAATTTCGATTTGAGACGGGAAAGCCCTGTCCAATTTTGCAGGCCCAAATTTGTCTTATGGCATAGTTCCTTGTACATTTTGGTAAAGTTTAAAAAAAGGAAAAAATTCAGAATTAACAAACCTAATAAGGTTTTATAGTTATAGTTTGATAATTATATTTTATAGGTATAGTTTCGTTTGCTATGGAGATTGCAGTTTGTATTTTTTTGTATTTATATATTTCGCTTGTGAATAATAAATTGGATAAGTATATACATAAAAATTATATTTATATATTTAGCAATTTTCAGAACTCTATTTGTATATTTCGCTTGCCAATATACAAACATGATAAACTTAGTATGAGTTTTTCATAAATCGTATACAAATAGGTAAAGAAAACATATTACAAATTCTGGATTTATACAATCAGGAACCAAATTATATAAATTATGGATTAATATCAGGTGAATTATACAAATCAAACGAATTATACAAACTAGACGAATAACAAGAATTGAAAAACTGTAACCGCAAATTATAATTTACTTAAATTATAACTATAATACCTAATATAAGCTAAATGTTTGTTATGGTGCATAATTTTCCCATGTAAAAAAGGCAACGCTCAGTCGCTTTTAGAGCACGTGAATTATCGAGTCCAATTGTCGAGCACATGAGGACTAATTTGTCAATTTAGAGCAGCGAAAATGATTTACCAATTATTTTCAATTTTAATTTCATTATTCAGGTGCACAAAAGTCATATTATTGTTCCAGAAATACCCTTCTCGTTGCTACTCGAGACCCACGTGTAGACGGTTACCCCACAGAATCCACGGAATTTTGCCCTTTTACTCCACCTCAGCCCCTAAATAGCCATTTTATTTCCCCTCTCTTTCTCTCTCTCTCTCTCTCTAACTTTACCCAAACCAGAGGAAATGGTATCGGACAACGAGCTCGTCGACCGGCTGCGTGAGTTTCTAAGCACGTCAGACCTCAACATCACCACCAACAGTGACGTCCGGCGAAAGCTCGAAAAGGACTTCAATATCGATTTATCGGATAGAAAAGTGTTCATTCGAGAGCAAATTGATCTTTACCTTGAAAGCCACTATCAAGTTAACCAAGAAAATGAGAATAATGAGGAAGAAATGGAAGAAGAAAACGATCAAGGACCGTCAGCGGAAGTTAAATCGGAAGTGAGTGAAGAGGAAGAAGACCCGGAGGAGGAGGAAGAAGAAGAAGAAGACCCGGAGGAGGAAGAAGAAGAGGAATCTGAGGCTGTTGCTAAAGTAAAACGAAGAAGTTCTAAGAAAAAGTATGTATTTCTCTGTTGCATGTTGAGTCTAAATATGTGTTCATTCATATCTATTCAAATTCTGAGCTATGTTTAAATGTCTTCTTCAAATATTATTATAGATTTTGTTGCTTCTATTTTAAGACGATATTATTACAATCATGCAAGAATATAGTGATTATAGTGCAGTATCTAAAGGGTTCTTGTTTCCATTTTCCTTTCTGCATTTCTGGTTTTCGAATGTTGTCGTGTTAAATTTAAGATATGTGGAACGTACGAAATGTTCTTTAATCTTGTGGTCTTAAATATGTCACTTGAAAATTGAAATTAAAGAGTAGCCAAAAAAGATTTCTATGAGTTATAGAAAAGATGAAAAGACTCAGGTTGGTTGGAAGGTGGGTAGTAGGGGAGGGGAGAGGGAGAGAGATTAGAAAGTAGAAATCTCGCGTCTTTCTGCTACTGCCTGCTTTGTTTAAAAAATGTTTTTGTTGTTTTACAATCTCTGTCAATTTTTCATCCTTATGTTTCTGTCACTTTCTTTTCCATTTACCAATTATATTAGTTCTGTATCCAGATTGCGTTTTGATTTGCTTGAAGAGGTGTAAACGTGTTAAGAAAGCTTACAGTCTTGTTCAACAGAAGCTGTAGCTATGGAGAATTAAGAGAGAAAAGGAATTGAAAGCAAAAAATGAATTGGATGCCTTGTTATTTCATTCTCTCATATCATTTACATTGCATGCATTAGTATATATATACAGATCACAATCAATTCACTCCACTCACCTCTAACAGATTACTGACAGTTTTAACTAACTAACTGCTAACTAATATCTTGACATTGTTGTGACTGACAGCTGGCATTACATTCTAGAACCTTCATCTTCACAAAACGTTTGACCTCCAATTGTTGATATATTGAACCTTCGGGGTGGCCTAGTGGTTTGGGCTTGGAACTTCCACGTTGGAGGTCTCAAGTTCGAAACTCCTTGCCAACGAAAGCACTGGGTCGAGCTCGTCATACCGGGCTTGCCTAGTGCTGGTTACCTCTCCTATGTGGTTTGAGAGCTATTGCATAGGAGCGAGGGTTTTACCTTGTGCGCACCCAAAGGGTAGCGGCTGCGGGTTTCCCTTGTCATAAAAAAAAATAAAAATTGTTGATATATTGGCTTTCTCTTTCAACTCATTGATTTTACTCACTGCTCAATTGGAAGCCTGAACTTTGACCCTCATTTACTATTAGAGTTGTAAAAATGCATGTTGCCTTTGTAGCTATGTAAGATAATAGTGATTGGTTGTGGGCCATGGCATATTGTTAGTACTATTTATTCTTAAAGAAAATGATAAAAAGTAAATGTAGTATTTCTGGATGCATTAGCTTGGGAGACTATTACTTGTTCATCCTCTTTTTTGTGGAAGGCATTAGCTACTCTTGTTCTCATTCTTTCTCATGACTGCAAGTGCAACCGATATATTTCCAGAAATCAGCATAAAAATCTCTTTAAGAAGTTACGCAAACTATAGCCGACCTCTGCATTTGTTAAAACAAAGAACCTCTCTGTAGTGTGAGTGAAATCGAGAAATTACCTGGTTGTACTAGGGTTAATTACTCGTATGAAGAGTGAAAGCAGATGCAACCAAAAAATTAAAAAGAGAACAGAAGGGTAAATCTCTTAGTGGTTGATCGGCTTGAAGAAATAGGAAAGGAAAAAGGAATACTTAAGAAAGCTAGTGCAATGTTAAATCAAAAATACTCTATCATGTTCACTTTTACCATTGTTTCCTTTATGTACCCTATTAACCCCTCAGGGGAAGTGCAAAAGAAGAGGAGCATCAATGTTAAATAGACCTAAAGTTGACATTTTACAGACCAATTAGGTTGATCTAAAGTAGACACTGAACAAAATAGTGATGAAAGTCTTACTTTCATTTCTTTTGAGTAGTCCCAATCAGAAAGCTTAGGAGATTATAGGGCCAGAATCTTCCTTTTGTGACCTGAGAGATTATATGTCCCTTTCATAACCTGAGAATTTATCTTGCTAGAACTTCAGTTAGTTTTGCTGAGAGAGTGCTCTCATTTTCTCTCTGGGAGAAGTCACTGCTATACTGCTGGCGAATGAATCATGTCTGTAGTTTAATTCTGGTGGTTGTGTGACATCTTTACTCATGTCTGGATCTGCATTACTAGGTTCTTTTAAGTTTAGATGTTGTTTAAATTAATAATACAAAGTTTCTCGTAAAAAGTCCCTACCATAATAACAAAAAGTTGAGGTGATATTTGCTGATTAGTGATGCTAAGCGTTTATCGCTCTTTTGTTTATGCACAGATCCATCATTACAGATTCTGATAGCTGACCAGTCTCTATCAAACCTGTTGACCCAGAAATTTCAAAATTTAATGTTCGCGGCAAACAATAAGTATCATTATATTTGATTAGTTATTAATCTGATCATGCTGACTGCTGATTGGGAGAGAAAATATGAAATCTACATGATTGTGTATGCGAAAATTTATTTTACTTATTTGCCTCTTAAAAGGAACTCTATATTTAGTCTAGTCTATACTAGTTGAGCTAATGGTACATTCAATCCTATTAGGCCTGTGAAGAAGAATGAAACTGGTAAAAGGAAAGCTGGTGGATTTACCAAACTATGCAGCCTTTCTCCGCAACTTCAGAAAATTACTGGGGTAGCTGAACTGGCAAGGACAGAGGTATGACAATCCTGCATGCTTCTGTCTCTCTCTCTTCTAATTGTTTAAAGTCTCCATTGATAGTTGCCATGGATATTAACATGCATGAACTAAATAAACCCTAACAAATGTTCTATGAAGGTGGTGAAGAGGATGTGGCACTATATAAATGAAAATGATTTGAAAAATCCATCAGATAAGCGGATTATAAACTGTGATGACACATTGCGCGAGCTTTTTGGTGTGCATACCATAGGCATGTTCGAAATGAACAAGGCCCTGACAAAGCATATCTGGCCTTTGGATTCTGATGGTGGTATTGGACGCTTCTCTTTGTTCTTTCTTTTTCCTTCTCTATTTTCTTGGTTTGCTGATACTTTCTGTAAAACTCTACTACGACACTTGATTCTTCCCACTTAGAAAATTTTGTACATTAATCGCTTTCACAGAGCTGCTTTTTAAATAAGCTGTTACAGACTTACGCTTAGTTCTCATTAAGTCTTGCTGCAGTTCTTCTCAGATTAATTACATAGTTTCTGGAGAGGCTGCAATCTTAGATTTGTGTTTGTATGTTGCTGACTTATTATGTTCTGCCATGTAACTGTACTCCTTAACTGTCTAAACCAAAATGGTCTTATACTAGTTTCTGAAAAGTACACATGCTCTACTAGTTTTCGTGTCATATTGTGGCCACTGGCCACCTTATTTCTTTGTAACTGTTTGGTCTTAATTTATCATTCTGTGCAATTAAGTTGCAGTCCAAGGCTAGCTTGTAGTCAATAATTATATGTGGGGAAACAGTAATTTCAGGAGTGTAATCTGGGATGAAGAATGATAGATGTTTCCTCATGTAAGCTGTTTTGTTTTAAATCCAACTTGTGGTAAGCATGTAACTCAATAATACTATTTGAGGAAATATTAATCTGATGTATGTAATATAGCTGATGTTGCATCTTGTTAGTTTAGGGTTTGGAAACTAAAATCCTGTTGAATGATTAATTCTTGACATGCTTGAAGTCTTGCATTTCTAATTTTTACTTTTCACCTCTCTGTGACTTGTGATTCAGTTTCTACAATAACAAATTCTGGTTCAGTAAATTCTACAGCAAACAAAAAGCGGCGGAAGCAAGAGGAGGATGAAGGTAATAACTTAGCTTCAACTACTATTCTGTCAATGTTTTTAAGTTTTGCTCCCAGCTGCAGAAGTTGCTTTTGCCCACTGTCCTTATGCCAAAAGACTTGTTTTAATCTCTTAGATGTTCATTTTAGCATTCATTCCTGCTACTTCATTCAGTTCTGCTCCATGATGTACCTTTAAAAATAGTAAAGGGTTGTTATCTCTCCCTACATTGTTTTTGTTGCTAACAAATTTAGATTCATTCATAGTTTTATACTTCTATTCTTATCCATATGCTGTGCGCAATTTGTTAACAGTGTATTTGATCTCACCTTTATTTGATTAGATTCAGATGAGCCAAAGAAAGAGGAAAAGCAGAAGAACTCTGGTATGCATGCTCCACTCCGGCTTTCTAATGCCTTGATTAATTTCCTTGGTACTGGAGAGAGTGAATTGTCTCGACCCAATGTTGTTAAAAGAATTTGGGAATACATTAAGCAAAATGGCTTACAGGTAGAGATTAATTTGTGGTATCTGTTCTAATTTATCTCTGCACTGGATTAACCTCAGCTTATGCCTTTCCCTTTTGGAGATATTACAATCCTTTACTTCTCACTTTAAAGATTGCTTTAGCTAGGTCATTCTCGCTATGACCTGTGGTAGGTGCTCATTTCTTTTGCCTTTAGTCACATTAAATGTTGCTGGTAACAGATACATACTTGAATGTTGCTTGTTTTAGACAGGTGTTCAATGCTTTCATTTGCTACACAAAATAGTTTTCTTGTAATGCTTACTGGTATCTTCTAAACACATGAAGCCAGTCAGGTGTCTACTGTTATTACCTCTAAGGTCTGATTTTAGGAAGGACTAAGTCGTTCCAAGTAGTTATGGAAGAAAACTATGTTAATGAATTCAAAAAGTAAAAAGGACACCCTGGTGCTCTAAAGCTCACTCTATGCGGGTCTAGGGAATGGCCGGACCTCAAGGGTCTATTGTAAGCAACTTACCCTGCATTTTTTTAATGAATTCAACTTTCCGTAAAAAAATTCTATAGAAAATAGACTGTCCAAAATCATATAAAGAAACTAGTGACTACTACCCATACCATCAGCTCTCCCCCCTTAGGGTCCATGACTTAACATTTGGAACACAATAGCATAACATAGGGGCCAAAATTAGGTAACCCAATATCTAGGATGGGTCTAGCTTGATACTATGTTATGAAATGGATAAGGGTGTCAAATGGGTTGGTTGGGTTGAATTGGAGAATGTCATAAATGGGCGGGTCTTTGACCTGCTTAAATATTATTTGGGCTAAAGTGGGTTGGGTTGAAATGAGCTAAAAACCGGGTCATAACCCAAGCTTCCCAATTCTTACCAAGTTTTAAATTTAATGTTTTCTTATAATTTGCTAGAGTACCTGATAAAACTTTTTTCCCTATATATGACTATGTACCATATAAAAATATGGTCTTTTTAAAAATATTTAGACAATTTCTCATGGGTCAATTTGGGCTGAACTAAGCAGGTCAAAATGTGCCAAGTTAATAAATTAAGCGAATTATTTATCTGTCCAAACATAAACCGGTTGGGCGGGTTATGATTGTATGGGCTGATTTTGACACCCCTAGAAATGGACCTTAGGCCAGCTCAACCCCAAGAGCTAGCTTTTGGGGATTATGCTAGAAAATTGAACCATGTGTTGGAAGAAGAAAAAACTTTTTGGTTTGTATGATATTTATAATTTCTTAGTTCATATGTTAGAAAATTATTTAAGGATGCATGCATGGTTTTGTAGTATGACAAAAGTATTAGACTAGGTACATGTTAAAGAAAACGTTTACATACCTACATTGTTTAACCATTTATGTAATCAAGTTGAATGAAGTAAAGAAGAATCATTTTCTGCTCATCTTCAAGAGAATTTGAGAGTGCTCCCACTTTCTGAATTTTCTAACATTTGGTTTCATAGCCACTTGTCCGGAAGGTCTAGGGGAGAATCGTAAATTCTTTGAAGATGAGAAAAATAAAAATGCGTACTACAATTCTGATGAAGATTTTGCCTACTGCCAAGAGCAAAGGCAAGTGAAGTGATTAGCTGAGTTTGGAAGAAGACAAGTGACAACTCTAAAGAAAATGAATCAGATGAAGATGATTCTGATTCCAGACAAGAGAAAGCATGTTGTTGAGTCTAACAAGAATAACTCTAAAGAAGAATCTTTGAAAAGAGCTCCTAGTATAGTGGAACCCTTTAAAAGACTCGTTGATTTTGTAGATCCTAAAAAGGTTTCTAGTTTCTACATGTTATTTCTTATGATCTACCTAAGTTTTGGTTCGCAGAATTATCTGATACTTTATACTTGTGCTGGTGAAGGTAGCAGGTACCTAATGAAATAGTCGAGGGATGTGTAAGTTGGCTTGGACGCTGTTATAAATTAAAACATAAGTATAGAATTTTGCAAAATTAGATACAACAATGTAACTCATGCTCACTTGTCCGCTCCCGAAGTACTTTCCCTCATTATCTTGCCAGTGGTCTATTTTTTATTAGAAAACATCGTCAATTAATTAATTTCAGAGTGTTGCTTGAGAATTGATTGTTAAACACGTCATAATGGCCTAGGTACATTCTTTGTGTATGGCCTGAATTCCATTTTGTTTATTCTATCACCAACTTTATTTAACTGAAGAGTAAGATGAGAAGACTTTCTTCGTGTAGAAAAGCACATTTTTTAGACAGTGGGGAGTATTTTATCCTGCTAGCTAATTTGTTGAAACAAGTTTTATTTTCTTTGAGTCGTAGTATATATTATGAGAAGCAAGAGTCCATTCAGTGACTAGGAAACTTAACTTTGCGTCACTTATCAAACAAAAAGAAACTTAACTTTGCATCTAGAAAGAAGTTTAGATGAGCATGTAAAACATGATGCAAATTTCTTATATACGAAGAAAGAACACTAGGAATTCATTGTGTGTGCCAATAAGCATTTAACATTTCCTTTTGAGTATCATTGAGAAAGCTAATGTTTGGTTGAGTGACAAAAGTTGCAGTCCCAATTTCAGCTTTTTGCTTTATCTAATGGTCTGACTAGTTTCCTTTCTTTACCTTGAAGGATCCATCTGACGAGAGGCAAATAATAAGTGATGAGAAGTTGAAAGAACTGTTTCATGTTGAAACCCACAGGGGAATTGGAGTAACGAAACTACTTTCTACACATTTTATTAAGGCAGAAGGGTGATATGGTGGTCATCATTTGGTGAAAATCTCGAATAGCTTCAGAATTTTGCTTTAAGTTTGAAGCTTGATGCCAACATCTTTGTTATCTTTTCTGTTGTATATGTTTTTGGGCACTGCTGTACTGTGAAAAACTATACGAGAAGGGGACACGACTCCAAGTTGATTCACAGGTCTTCTCCTATGAGTGTAAAAACCTCATTTTGCTCAAACTGACGAACTTAGGAATTGTACTTTGATTAAAATTGTGAATATTCATGTCGTTTCATGTACTTTTCTGCATCTTTTCTGGAAATATACAAGGACAATTGGGGAGCAGATGTGATTATCAACACTTACATATATACTTGTAGTTGGAATCAGTGTTTAATTGTCTCCAAAACTTTTTTCTTTTAAAGGTGATATTTTTCTTTAGCTACAATAGGAGTCTTTATTTTGTTAGAGTCTATGTCAACTTTCTGCTATTAGCTGCATTTTATTGTTGATCTGAAAACATTAGTGTATAAATGTATGTCTATAATATTGAATTGTCAGAACGTTCATTTTTTCTTGTTAGCAATACAGTTTGGTATATATGAGCTGCTTTATTAGACTTGGTACGTAAATATGTTGATATTTTATCGATGGGTAATTGAGAAACTCGAACCTGGGTTGTTTTATTTAAAAATTAAAACTGCTATAACTCCTACAAGAATATGTAAACTTCAGCTACCATGGATTACTCCATGGATTTAGAGCTGGAACAGTGAAGAAGCTTTTAGAGAAATCAGTTTAGAGAAGAAGAGGAAAGCTTTGTATTGCACTGAAATTGTATCTACAACAATGATGTACACGTCTATTTATACAGTAGTTTCTAACCAATTAATTACTGCTCTACTTACTATCATGACTAGCTAGCACTAACTAATTATAAGTTAGTTATAACATCCTAACTAACTGCCATGTCACTAGCCTCAATACTCCCCCTCAAGCTGGATGCCAAGAATACATTCTTCAGACCAATGCAAATCAATAGGTTGTACAATTGAAACTCCTAGTTCCTTGAGCAGGCCTGTTCTGCCACTGTAGATGCCATGCTCCTAAATTCAGCTTCAGCTGAGCTCCTTGAGATTGTTTCTTGCTTCTTTGACTTCCATGAAATCAAGGAAGATCCAAACTTGATCATATAGCCTGTGACTGATTTTCTAGATTGGGGACAGGCAGCCCAGTCTGAGTCACAATAGGCAAATAATTGATGAGATGTAGTTGAAGACATAAACAAGCCAAGGCCTGGAGCATTCTTGATATATCTAATCACCCTGATAGCAGCAAGCATGTGAGATTCTTTTGGTTTATGCATGAATTGACTCAGAACCTGCATTGTGTAAGCAATGTCAGGTCATAGTGAGATATAGCAGCCTTCCCACTAGTCTTTGGTACCTCTCTGGATCAATCAGTAACTTATCATTTGTTGTGCTTCCTGTGGCTACATCAAACTCATAGGAAGTAAGTTTTTGATTGAAGTCCAGTGGAGTTGAAGCAGGTTTAGCTCCCCCTTGCCCTGAATCTGCAATTAACTCAATGGCATATTTTCTCTGATTCAACAAAATTCCAGAGGCATTTCGGGAGAATTCAAGGCCAAGAAAAAATCTCTCAAGTCCCCAAGATCCTTCATTTTAAACTTCTTCTGAAGGTTGGATTTGGTAGATTGAATGAGTGTAATGTTTGAACCAGTAAGCATAAGATCATCCACATAGACCAAAACAACAACCACATCAGAACCAACAGTGAATGTGATCAAAGAGTAGTCAAAATGACTCTGAACAAACCCCAAATCCTGCAAAGCTGCAGTGAGCTTCAGGTTCCATTGCCTGGAAGCTTGTTTCAATCCATACAAAGACTTCTTTAGCTTGCAAACCTTGTGATAAGAACCTTTAAGAAAGCCTGAAGGAATCTGCATATAAACCTCTTCAACCAAATCACCTTGAAGGAAGGCATTGTACACATCCATTTGATAGATATGCCAATATTTAGAGGCAGCAACAGCTAGGACAGACCTGACAGTCACCATCTTAGCAACTGGGGAGAAGGTTTCTTGGTAATCAAAACCCTCATTTTGACTAAATTCCTTGGCAACTAACCTTGCCTTGAACCTTTCAATCTGACCATCAGCTTTATGCTTGATTTTAAACACCCATTTGCAACCCACATCATTCTTTCCTGGAGGAAGATCGGCAATGTCCCAGGTACCATTTTCTTCAAGAGCAGCAATCTCTTGTTTCATGGCAAAAACCCATCTGTCATCTTGAACAGCCTCATGATAGGTCTTAGGTTCAATTTCAGAGGTGCGAGCAACTAGGCAGGTGGCATACTCCGGAGAGATTAGAGCATAACTCAGGTAGTCAGACATAGGATATATACAAGAGTTAACCACATATTCAGTAAACCACTTGGGTGTAGACTTAGGTCTGTGTGATCTTTTTAGTGGAGCCTCAGGCACAACAACTACTGGATGGTCTGCATGTACTGGTGCAGTAGGAGGAGGAACAACGTGTATAAGGACTATAGGGTCTACTGGAACATCATTAGCAAAGTCCATGACAGGAAATATAGGATCATTACTAGGAATCATCTGTTTAAAAGGATACACAGATTCATGAAAAACAACATCCCTGCTAAAAAAGAACCTTTTAGAATGCAAATCATACAATTTATAACCCTTCTTAGTGGCTGAATAACCCATAAACACAGTAGGAAGTGCTCTGGCAGCAAACTTATCCCTCCTCTGGACATTTACTGCATATGCTAAACATCCAAAAATCCTGAGATGATAAAAAAGTGGGGAAGTGTGATAAAACAACTCAAAAGGGGATTTATTCCTTAGCACAGATGAAGGAAGCCTGTTGATAATATGCACTGCTGTAAGCACACAGTCACCCCAAAAACATAGAGGTATGGCAGCCTCAAACCTGAGGGCCCTAGCTACTTCAAGTATGTATCTATGTCTTCGTTCTACCACTCCATTCTGTTGTGGAGTATAGACACATGTAGTTTGATGAACAGTCCCTTGTGCAATAAGAAAATTATGCATAGAGAAGTTAAGAAACTCTGAGCCATTATCAGTTTTAAGAACTTTGATTTTAGAGTTGTACTGAGTGTGAATCATTGAAAAGAAAGTTTTAAGCATCAGAAAAGTTTCATCCTTAGAATTCATCAAAAACAACCAAGTCTGGAGAAATCATCCACAACTGTTAAAAAAAATCTTTTTCCATCAGTAGTTGGCATTCTATATGGCCCCCATACATCAGCATGTATCAAATCAAACACAACTTTAGAATGAGTAGTACTAAGATGAAAGGGTAACTTGGTTTGTCTAGCTAAAGGACATACATGACATAAATCACAAGACTTATCAAGGCTACTATGTAGAAACTTGTTCATCTTTTGTAAGGCTGCAAAATGTATGTGTCCAAGTCTTCTATGCCAAATGCTGAGTGTAGCAGTGTCTTTGACAGCAGTTTGAGCTTTAGGAAAGACTGAAGTGAATGAGTGTAGTGACTTAGCAACATCACCAAACAAATAAAGGCCACCTGATTCTCTACCAGTCCCCAACACCTTGCCACTGCAAAGATCTTGAAATATGCATAATTCAGGATAGAAAGCCACCAAACAATTCAACTCCTTAGTGAGCTTGGAAACAGATAGCAGGTTAAAATGGAAGTTAGGTATATAAAGGACATCATGAATTTGTTGTGTTGGCAATATATGCACTGAACCTTTGTGTGTGATGTCAGACCTTTTACCATTAGGCAAATGTACTTGACCAATATTAGATAATTGTTGTGGCTCATTTAGGACATCTAGGTTGGACACCATATGACTAGTTGCACCTGTATCTATCACCCACTAAGTTTGCTTCAATTTAGATAATAGTGACAGAATTATACCTGAGCTTGATTCAGTAGAGTTAGAAGGACCTGCTAGGGTGGCTGTGGCCACATTAACTGTGATATCCGACCCTCTGAGAATCATCTGCTGAATCTGATAGTACTGTTCAAGGGAGAAAATAGGTTGAACTGCCTCATGAGTGGTAGTTTGTGGTGGAGAATCCTCAGCTACACAATTCATAGCAGCCTTTGGATAGGAGTTATGTTTCAGCTTAGATCTATTATCATGGAAAGATCTGTCAGGTTGAAATTCTCCTTTGTCCGGCTGAGAGTTGCTATTGTACTGATTCATGTCGTTGAATTGACCAAGCAATCTCCTACAAACTGCTCTAGTATGGCATGACTTTTTGCAATAATCACAGTATAGATCTAACTTCTTAGATCTGTAGGTAGGTGCTGGTTTGTTTGTCATTAAGGCAGTGGTGTCAGCTATCTCCAAATCTGGCATGACAGAGGTAAGAGATCTCTTAATTTCCTCTTGTATAATAAGAGCATAAATCTGATTCAAAGATGGCAAAAGTTGCATCATCAATACCTGACTCTTGGCTCGAGAATAGGAATCATTCAATCTTATGAGGAATTGAAAAATCTCGTGTTTCTGAATGTGCTCAGTAAATATCCTTGAGGTCTCACAATTGCAGGTAGGAGGAGGAATTAAGGAATCAAATTCATCCCACTGATCACTCAGCTTGGAGAAATAAGTTGATATATCAGTGGTACCTTGAGTGAGAAAAGTGATCTCCTTATGTAGATGAAAAGTGCGAACACTGTTCTCCTTGTCAACTTATCCTTCAAACTCTCCCAAACCTTTTGTGAATCTGAGGCGTACGCAATGCCAGTTAGCAACTCCTTCGAGACTACATTCATGATCCAGGATAATACAATGGAATTACACCTTTTCCATCGTTTCAACAATACTCTAGTAAATGAGGATTTCGCACAACTACCATCAATAAAACCGAGCTTATTCTTTCCCAGTAAAGCTATCTTCATGTATCTGCTCTATAAGGCGTAATTCTCAGTGCCGGTCAATTGAAGAGCAATCAAGGTAATTTCAGGGGTATCTGTTAATTGGAGAAATAACGGATCATTGTGATCAATAGGCGGCACTGGAGTATCATCCATTGATGAAGATTGATACTTAGATCCAAAAAAAAAGGATCGTTTACTCGAATAATGAT